GCAGGAGGTTCTTTAAAGCAGCTAGGCCCTGAAAACCCCCCGTCCTGGGTACTTAGCCGACTTAGCCCCACTCCAAAGCTTAGCTTAAAGCCTGCACGCTTTCGAGGTGTAGGGTGCAAGATCCAGCGACCAGCAACACAGTTTAGCTACCGATCGCTTGGTGCCAGGCATCCGGCTGAAGGCATGCTGGTCGCGAAGAGGGGCAGTTGCATGAAGCCGGCTTTAGGCATAATTACTGTGGCCCTGGATGTGCTACGATTTGGAAACTATTCTTACGATAATGTCAGGATTCGTCTTACGTTTCAATCCTGCACGATTATCACTTATGAAGTCTAGGATTGACCTGATAGTTTCAACTTCTCAGAAGCACGGGCAAAAATGGAGACCTGGGCACCGCATATCGCTCGCGGAGCGGTAGGCTCCAATGCGATCAGAGCACTTCTTTCCGGCTCTGACCCTCCCAGCGTTGGCCAAAGTCAGCGCAGAGGAACTGTTTGCCCTTATGAGTTTAGCGTGTAGGGTTGGTTGCAAGGGCCTGTGTGCCTGTCGGCAGATTGATTTAGTGCTCGCTTAGTCGTGTGGACACTGCAAGTATCGCACTCCTTCAGGGTACACAAAATGTCTCAGAGTCTAGGAGGTCAGGTAGTTGGAGGGTTTTGAGTTCGGAGGCTTGGGTCTAGCCTGACATTGTATGATTCCAAATCTTGCAGCTCCAGACGGTTGAGATTGACTATCCTCTTTCGCAGAGGTGCGCAGCACTTGGTTGCGCGCTTGTTGTGGTGAACCAGCTGGGGTGCTTCGCCGTGCCGCAGACATGCGCAGAAACGACAAAGCCCTTATCAGAGACTTGTCATTGGCAGCAGGAACCTGAGCTCGAAGGATTAGTCTACTCGACTCGAGATGAAACGCAACTCTGTGATTGTGAATAGGCCTGTGGACCTTAGCAGTCCCTCTACGTTTGCGGCATGATAGACCCGAAAGCAGATTCCAACTTAAGCTGCGCAAGCGGGATTTGGGCGCGTCTTCAAGCTAGGCCTTGCATGTTTTTTGGTGCTGCGTACCCTGGCATCCTGCACTGCTACGGAGTTGAATCTGTCATGTCCCGTCACGATCTCCAATCTAGAGAGCAGTGTCATCTTTTGGAAAGTGCAACCCACCTGACCTTAGAATTAAAGTTCATGTTGTGGCTGAGAAAGCTTCCTTCCATCAGGGTCCGCTTGGAGCCATGGTGCACGAGTCGGATACATCAAGCCAGGCACACTGCTCGCGGCTGGCAGTGCCAATTCAAAAGCAGCTGAGAGCACGGGGCAAAGTGCGGGCAGTGAGGATGTGACGTTATCGTGGAACTTATTCTTGTGCCAGGTGACAACAGAAGACAATGCGGCCTCCTCGCAAGCAACACAGCACGAATTGTGCAGAGATGTTTTGGCCTGGCCATGTTCCACAGACATGTGTGATCACGTGAGCAGGCGCTGAGGGCACAAGTCTCATTTGGTGATTTGGAGTTACCCTAGCACGACCTTTGAGGCTCTAGGGCTGCACTACAGTAGTGACACCTTCCTACTTGTGGCTTTGTTCCGTTCTGTTGTATGCATGCATTCGCTACTCACATGTGTCCGTGGTTCTTGACTCGTGGGCTTTGTCCACACACTCAACATCCTAGACCAGAAGCGTACAGTGCCCACAGCCAAGATGCGGTCAACGCTGATAGCGGCTTTCAGCAACCTCTCCACTGCTTACAACTTGGTGAACATCAATGTGTCGCATGCCTCTCGGCAGACCCTGAACGGGCTTCAGACTTTCGACTCTACTATCGGCTGGACCAGCTGACGGCAGCTGGCTCCCGGCTGGAGGGGCTGGGGATGAAACAGATCTTACACTACTACTGAGTCATGAACTAGCAAGGCCTCTGAGTGTTGTTGGCTCTTGGTCCGGCGACTTCGACACGAGAGAGAGCGCAGTGTTTTCCCTGGGCAGCTGGATTCCGCAGGAAAGCGCCACATGATAGGAGATCATTAGTGAATCCATGAAGGACTTGATGCTTGCCCTGTTCTTGGCAACGTTGCAGCTTTGGGTGGCTGCCAAAATCAAGATCCATCCGTAGGCTCAGCATGACCGGCTGGGCCGGGGCTGGGTTCAACCTATTTACGGAGTCTGGTGTTAACAAAGCGGGCCATAAGCGGCGCAGCAAGATTTCACAACTACCCTGTTGAGGTCTCGTCAGATTTAAACCAGCTACACGGATAGCCCCCTCGCTTGCATGTGCCGAGGCAAGACAAGCGAACTAGAATGCTACGGTTTACCTGCCAACAGTTTAAACTGGCAACTCCATGTCGCGAGATTCATTAATTACTAGCTACGTTCTTTACGGCATGCAGCAATCGCCATTCAGGGATTAAATAGGGTTACTTTGGGGTTATAGTCATACTTTAAGAGCTTTAGGGTCATATTGCCTTTGTTACGTTGTTAGGGTTATAGTATGTGATGGTCGTACTTTCAGAGCTCTCAGGGTTTCGGCTAGCATGACTTGCTTTCCGAGGTGATCCTGGAGGACCAGTACTGTGGCGGCGAGACGCGGCTGCTTTCTTCGTTGGAAGGGGATGACCTGCCTGAACCCTAAACACCGCTTAAAAGGGGGTAGTCGCTGTGGATTTAGAGTTAGACGTTGGCATGGGGTGTTGGGTGCAAAATATCAATGTCGAGTGGTCCTCAAATGCAACACCTCAAGATTTGGTGACCAGGGGGTCTTTGTAGATGTCTAGACTAGAAGACTAGACATGTCGAAAATTGCAGCCAGCTCTTGGTATCACAACGGCTGCGGGAGGTGCTCTGGAGCGCTCCCAGAACCCGGCCTAGATTGAAGAGTATATCGGTCAGGGTCGTGGGCTCAAGGTCCGAGTGCAGACGCGAGCCTCCACATGAGAGGTGAGCATCAACCAGGCGAAACACCAGACTGACCGGCTTACTTTTATGGTTGATACCTCTGTGTTCGATAGGGACCGTTCATGCCGCTTTGGCGAACAGTGTCATTCTGCAGCCAGACCCTTCCAGACGGGGGGAGCACTTCCGTTCAGGACCGATTACAAGAGAATCAAGAGATAGAGAGAAACTCGTTGTCCAAGGCCAAGGCATTTTTTAAGCAAGCTCTTTGAAGGCCACAGTGCAACAATCAGTGGTTCAGAGATGTTGAACTCTATGAACCCGTGAACGAATGCTATAAGCCCATCCTTAGCAGCCAGAAGAAGCCGAGGACAACTGCAAGGGGTCCGTGGCCGCCACAAGCTCCGCATGCCTGGCCGGCGCCATCTTCGGCCAGCTCACTTTCGGACCCGGGGGTTTAGGGGTTTAGGGATTAGGGGGCTTAGTGCATTGCAGTCCCTGCTCAAAAAAAGGGATTAGGGGGTAGGGTTTTAGGGTTTAGGGGTTGGGGCTTTAGCGGTTTAGGGGTTCAGGGTTTTAGGGGTTTAAGATTCAGGGTTTTACAAAGCCTTTCTCCGGTGTACTGGGCTGTACAGTCCCGGAAGGCAGCTGAAGGCGTGTCCTAAGCCGAGGCCCAGGGGAATGGAGTCGAGAGTCACAAGATGCCCGTAACTAGCACTAGAAGGAGTTGTAGCAAGGATGTTGCAGCTGCTATCGTCGTTATGTTTTCTCGTGATTCCTGAATCTTACTAGCACAGATCCGCATTCTCTGCCGCCACCAAAAACAACACCATCCTGCACACCACCACTGCGCCGACGAAGACGAAGTTGTGTCGTATTTGCCGCAGTCGGTAGTAGATGTAGAGTACTCGTGGTGGAAACCCTTGTCGACGACATCATAACTTTGATAGTATCGTAGTATTAGATCAGTAGTCGCCGTCGGCCTCGGTGTTGGCGTCGGCGTCGACGTCGCTGCTGCAGTCTCAGTCGTGGCCGCAGTCCGGAATCGCCAAATGAGGGGGCATGTTTAAGATCAACAGTAGAAGCCAAAAGAATGGAACCCCGATAGCCTCAATCCTTAAGAGTCATGTACAGGGAATCCAAGCACTAAATGTCCTTATTCCGGTTTCCAAAAATTTTGGAGTTTACTATATTATAATATGATGAACCGAGATCGCCAAATTGAGGGGGGTGCGTTTAAGATATATGAACCGGAAGCTCCGAATGAGGGGGCGCGCTCAAGATCTACGATGAACCGAGAGGCGTGTTCAGGCATATGATGAGCCGATGAGCCGGAAATGCCAGATGAGGGGGCGTGTTCAAGACGTTTGATCAACCGCAATGGCCACAGGAGAAGGCGTGTTTCAGAATGATGAACCGGACTCGCGAAAAGAGGGAGCGTGTTTAAGACGTGATGAAACGGAATCGCCAAAGGAGGGGGCGTGCTTATGATCGATGATGAACCGAGAGGCCCGCCCATCCCCCATGATACAGGCCCTGTGGTTGCAGCAAATTTGCAAAGTGGGCCTGCGTCCCTCCCCCCCCTCCCCCCACACCCCGAAAAAGCAGCAAAGAAAAAAGGAGCAAACGCACCAAAAAAGGAGCGGAAAACAGTTCCACCCGCTGCGACGCTCTGTTCCTGGACATTCACAAATCCAGAGAGCCCAATACCCCTTAAATCATAATATTAAGGCCCCTATAATTTAAGGTATATTCCTGAAGTGAGGGGTATTGGGCTCTGTGGGAGTATGCCTCCACAGCCAGGATATATCGGAGACTGCCTTGGACGCGGTCCTGCGCGACCATTCTGAAAGGTAACATAGTGGTCGGCATGTTTAGTTTAGTAATGGTTTCCCCATAGATGGATCATGTAAAATCCGTTTTGCGATATCACCCAAGACCCTGCTATTTTCCTTACGTCCCTTCTGTTTACTGTTGCTGCTGATAAGGCTTCAGATTTTTGTGGGGCTCTGACTCAGCTAAACACATTCAGGCCTTAGCCACACGTTTGAGAGACTTACCAGAAGGCTGGCATGAGCATCCACTTCCTGGATTCCTAAAAAAGGCTAAAAGACCATGGCATGGAACTGCACAAGCAAAGTCTACTGTCAATGGAGCGGGATGACAAAGCCCGGACTTCAAGTTCCGAGCAGCCTGCTGTATTGTTGAGGCTCTACTTGACAATGGTGCTGTCCATCGCCGGGGCTTTGGTGTCAGCGTTTGCAGTGCCTCGTTCTCGCAGAGCTAAATATGTCTTATCCGATGAGAGCCGGCGTTACAAGCACGGCCGCATGTCACTCACGACAGCATTGTGCACGTGGCGATGTCTTCACGCTTGGAGAGAAGGGTAAAGGCCTGATTGGCCGAAATTCTAGAATGAGATTACGTTTTCCACACAGATTGTGGAGAAGTCGATTACAAATCTACAAATCACGCGAGAGTTTCCGGAATTGTACAGACTTTTTGTGCGGTTACTGAGTCGGAAACCCCAATCTAGGACACCCCGAAAAAAACTCCCTTCACTGATCAGCTTGCAGATATTGGCTCTTGTCGCCGTGCATGCCACCATCACGCACCTTACCGAAAGAGGGGCCGTCGTGAGCGAAGGTGCCTCTAAGCCCGAACAATCCAACGTCGGCTACTTGGCAGAAATTGTCGGTTTGCGCATTCCTGTGGCTGAGAGACACCGCCATTCTTCACTTGGCCTCTGAGTTGGGATGCTAGGCCCCTGTTGATTTCGAAGAGACAGGCCTTTGTAGGACTTTGTCCTTCAAGTAGTGATTCGTAGTTCTCTCGTGTCATGTCTCAAGATACGCGAATCTGTATAATCTACTCTACTTTGTCACAGATGAAATTTCAGACTGTTCTCCTGTCTCCTGTCTTTCCCATATTCGGGACCTCCAGATCGCTTTCAGGAGCAAGAGCTGCATGGACCTGTGCATCCACACTTTGGGCGTTATATGTCCTTCGCTACCTTTGCGTGCATGACAGACTGCCGCCAGAAGGAATCCGCAACTGCGGGAGGTTTTCGACTACATGTTTCTTGACAAAAGGTAGGAAGTGTGTCCACACGTCTACTCTAATCCGCTGGTCACGCGCTTTGGGCTCTAGTGCAGAATGACACTCACTCTCCAGTGCTATGTGCAAGCCAGAGCATGTCATTTCATCCCCTTTGTTGGCGTCACTTCCCCAGGTCTTCGTGTTCCTGAGCGTCGCCCGCTTTGTCCTCGGCGCTGGAGTAGGTGGCCGCGAGCTTGGACCGTGAGGGTCTGAAGGTTCATAGGCGCTTATGAAGATTGTGTTGTAGGTTGTAGGCGATGCAGTGTGTGAATGCGTGCAGAAATTGGGCATTTGGAAATACGCTCAGAATGTGTGCGTCAGAATGTGTTCCAGCTATGTAGCACTAAACTCGTCTCGTTTGCTCAGCTTGCAGGTTTGTCAGGTTCGAGACACAGAATCAGGGACGTTGCTATAGGTGCAGGCATAAAACTACAAGCTGTATAGAACTTGGCATACGGAAGCAAAGTGCAAATTTTGGGAATGCAGGCATTTTCTTATCTCTCTTGGGATGTGCCAGTTTTAGGGTCGCAGGCCAGACCAGGCCCCTGCAGACAGGCTGAGTACCGAAACCCAAGCCGGAGACCCCGGTTAGCACCCGGAGGAAACCTTTAATTGCAGAAACCTCTTTCGAAGAAGCCGATTTTTAGAAAGCATTCATGAAACCCGGAAAAGACAAGCCCGAAAAGAAAGCCGAAGTTACACAAGCTTTATGATCGCCTTTTTAGATGTGAAGCTCACGCCAAGGCGTGTATCCGCTGGCTGCCACAGTGGCAGCCGAGGGTTCGGATGCATCGAGTCTGCGGCTGCAGCATCAGAGCTCTAGACTCTAGAGGCTGAGCAGACCACGGTATAGGTTTAGGGGCTTAGGGTGTAGGGTTTAGGGGTTTAGGGTTTAGGGTATAGTGCAGTCATGTTGTGTCTAAAATATGTTTGACATAGCCTCCGCAAAAAGTCATTGGTCTGTGTAAAGATTGTTTCTTCATAGGTCCATCAAGCGTGTTCTGCTTGAAACACTAACGTAGCTTGGCACTTTCCGGGTTCGATTTACTGTCTCATCGCAGAAGGTGCTAGCGGCTGCTGGTGCCCAGCCCTGGAGTCCTCACAGGATTCTTGAACTTGCGAAGAGTTCGGAATATGTCGGAAGAATATCTCTGTTGTTCCTGATAGAAGCCCCGCAGAAACCCTGTGAAACGTGGAGAGCCGCATGAAAGCCTCACTGGCCCTAAATGCCCGGCAAATCCCTGAACCCGAACTTTTACCCAAGCCCCAAATCCCTAAATCCGAAAACCCCCACCCTTTGTGTAAATCCAAAACCCTTCAAAATTCAAAACTCAAGGACCCGGGGGAGGTCTGTCGCCCTGGTCTTCTCCATGCAGGGCATCGGCCTTTGGGCTCGTATTTTGGGGGTATTAGGGGTATTAGGGATTAGGATCTGGGGATTTACACTCACAGGCTCTAGGCTTTGGGCCCCCTCTGTCAGTCTTCGAGTTTCGCTTCTTTTGGGACACTGCATGTTTTGGCCAGCGCTCGCTTTCAAGAATTACCTTCAGGCTAGCAGATTCTCATATTCTCCAGGGCATATGCGCTGCAGGGAAAGCTTTTGAGGGTGTTACCAGGCATCTCATCAAGACTTGCAGTCCAAAGCGCAGCATCGCTAGAGCCAAGCTGTAGAAGGCAGATGCGGCTTCTGTGGGCCTCAAGCGAAGGGCACAGAGGGTTTCCAATGTAATACAGGGGCCTGAATAAGGTGTTGGGGCCCATCACGCTACAATTATAATTTATAATGGAACCCTCCCCCCCCCCCAAAAAAAA